TAAACCAGTCTAGTCTTTCCATATTCTTCTGCCTGCTTTCATTCTGGCCCTGCTGGCAGCTGATTCAATGGTGCCCACTCAGACTGAGGGAGCGTCTGCCTCTCCTGGTCCACTGACTCAAATGTGAATCTCCTTTGGCAACACCCTCACAGACACACCCAGGAACAATACTTTGCCTCCTTCAGTCCAGTCAACTTGACACTCAGTATTAACCATCACACTTTTTTTTTTTTAATTTGAGATGGAGTCTCACTCTGTTGCCCAGGCTGGCATGTAATGATGCGATCTTGGCTCACTGCAACCTCCGCCCCCTGGGTTCAAGTGATTCTTCTGCCTCAGCCTCCCTAGTAGCTGGGATTACAGGCACCTGCCACCGTGCCTGGCTGATTTTTGTATTTTTAGTAGAGACGGTGTTTCACCATCTTGGCCAGGCACCATCACACTTTTTAACATTTTATTGGGAAATACAAATACAGGTTGAGTATCTATAATCTCAAAATTAGAAATCACAAACATTCCAAAGTTTGAATCTTTTTGAACACTGATGTCATGATGAAGATGACCTGAACACTACAGAAATTAGCTGGGTATGGTGGTGCGCACCTGTAATCCCAGCTACTCAGGAGGGTGAGGCAGGAGAATCACTCGAACCTGGGAGGCGGAGGTTGCCATGAACCGAGATTGCACCATTGCACTCTAGCTTGGGTGATAGAGTGACTCAGTCTCAGAAAAAAAAAACAAAAAACAAACAAACAAAAACTTAGCAGTAAAAAATATGACATACTTTTTTTTTTTTTTTTTTGAGACGGAGCTTCACTCATGTTACCCAGGCTGGAGTGCAATGGCGCAATCTCGGCTCATCGCAACCTCCGCCTCCCGGGTTCAGGCAATTCTCCTGCCTCAGCCTCCCGAGTAGCTGGGATTACAGGCACACACCACCATGCCCAGCTAATTTTTGTATTTTTAATAGAGACGGAGTTTCACCATGTTGACCAGGATGGTCTCGATCTCTTGACCTTGTGATCCACCCGCCTCGGCCTCCCAAAGTGCTGGGATTACAGGCTTGAGCCACCGTGCCCGGCATGACATACTATTAATACAATGAAGACATCATGTGTTGAGGTAGCCATGTGCACAGCAGCACCACTGGAGCACCTGGAGCAGCCGTTAAGCAACCGTAGCCGCCATTGACAGCAGGCTTCCAGCCTCCACTGATTGCAAGGTCACTGGACACCGTGTTTCTTTCGTTCTTTATTTATTTATTTATTTTTTGAGACGGAGTTTTGCCCTTGTTGCCCAGGCTAATATGTTTAGTAGAGACAGGGTTTCTCCATGTTTGTCAAGCTAGTCTCAAACTCCCGATCTCAGTTGATCTGCCTGCCTCGGACTCCCAAGGTGCTGGGATTACAGGTGTGAGCCACTGTACCTGGCCTTTTTATTTTTTGAGACAGAGTTTTACTCTTTTTGCCCAAGCTGGAGTACAATGGTGCAATCTCAGGTCACCACAACCTCCGCCTCCTGGGTTCAAGCAATTCTCCTGCCTTAGCCTCCCAAGTAGCTGGGATTACAGATGCATGCCACCACACCCGGCTAATTTTTGTATTTTTAGTAGAGACGGGGTTTCACCATGTTGGTCAGGCTAGTCTCGAACTCCTGACCTCGTAATCCACTCATCTCAGCCTCCCAAAGTGCTGAGATTACCGGCATGAGACACCACGCCCAGCCTATTGCTAAATTGTTATGTGTGGATAAGTGTAAGAAAATGATTGCGTATTGAGCTGGGTGTAGTGGCTTATGCCAGTAATCCCTGTGCTTTTGGAGGCCAAGGTGGGAGGATTGAGACCAGGAGTTTCAGACCAGCCTGGGCGACATAGTGAGATCCGATCACTTAAAAAAAAAAAGATTGTTTATTGGTAGCATATAGATTTAGTCAGGAGTCATGGAGGTGGCAGACCACCACAGATTGTCCACATAGATGGCTGACAGAGTAACAGCTTTGCTTTCTAACAGTTCAGTGTACACAAACTTTGTTTTGTGCACAAAATTTTAGAAATCTTGTATGAAATTACTTCCAAGCTGTAAGGTATATATGAAGCATGAATGAACTTTGTGTTTAGACTTGGGCTCCATCTTCAGGAAATCTCATTGTGTATATGCAAATATTTCAAGCTCTGAAAGGCCCCAAAATCTGAAACACATCTGGTCCCAAGCATTTGAAATAAGGGATGCTCAACCTGTCCAAGCTAAAAGTTTGCAGAACACATAGGTGGGTTTAAGAAGTCGTGTTTGAGGCTGGACACGGTGGCTCACGCCTGTAATCCCAGCACTTTGGGAGGCCGAGGCAGGTGGATCACCTGAGGTTGGGAGTTTGAGACCAGCCTGACTAGCACAGAAAAACCCCATTTCTGCTAAAAACACAAAATTAGCTGAGCGTGGTGGTGCATACCTGTGATCCCAGCTACTTGGAAAGCTGAGGTGGGAGAATTGCTTGAACCCAGGAGGCAGAGGTTGCAGTGAGCAAGATTGTACCACTGCACTCCAGCCTGGGCAACAAGAGCAAACTCTGTCTAAAAAAAAAAAAAAAAAAAAAAAAAAGAAGAAGTTGTGTTTGAGCTGAGTCCATCAGCCCCTCCACGGTAGTCACTAACTCTCACAGGGTCTCACTCTGCCACCCAGGCTGAAGTGCAGTGGCACGATCTTGGCTCATTGCAGCCTCTGCCTCCTGGGTTCATTTCAGGTGATACTTGGGCCTCTGCCTCCTGAGGAGCTGGGACTACTAGCATGTGTGACTGTGCCTGGCTAATTTTTGTGGAACCAGGCCTTATTGTTTTAGATTTGCCTCCCTTGTGTGAGCCCCTGTGTAATAAAGTATGATCGTGTCTGTTTACGAGCTTTATAGAAATAGGATCATACTGCTGTATTCTTCTGTGTTTGACCTCTATCCAGTAGGGTGTTGTCAGGATTCCTCTGGGTGGCTGTGTTGGTGGCCTGTCTGCCCAATTCCGTTGCTGTGTCCTGTCCCACGGCTTGGAAGCCAGTGCACCGTCAGTCCCTATCCTAATGCAATGTGTGCTCGGGCTCTTGACGGTCTGCTGTCGTAAACAGGCTGTCCTGCAGACGTCAGAGCTTCTCTGGGGCAGGAACATTACCTGAGATGGAATTGTTGGATCTTAGGTGTGTATCCTCTGCCTTCTTAGGTGATGCCTAGGTGTTTTCCAATGTCCCGTGCCAGTTTCTCCAGCAGCCTCCAAGCATTTTGTCTGTTCCAGCGCCCTTACTCTCATGAGGTTTTTGCCTGGACTCCTAAGCCTGTTCCTGCCAGGCTGTCATCCTGTGTGTCTCTGACCAGCAGGGAAGCCCAGTGGCATTGCATGGGTGTTGGCAGTTGGGACTTTTGTCCACATTTCGTCTTTCTGTTGATGAGTCTTGTTCTCGTTGACTTGTTGGAATTCCCTGCACCCTTTGCCGCGTCCACCACAGTGGCTGTCCTTCTAGCTCTCTTCATACCGTTTGATTAACAGACATTCTGAACTTGAGTGGTCTTTTACCATATTTTTCTTACATCTTTTCTTTTTTTTTTTTTTTTTTTTGAGACGGGGTCTCACTCTGTTGTCCAGGCTAAAGTGTGGTGGTGTGATCTCAGCTCACTGCAACTTCCATCTCCTTCGCTCAAGCGATTCTCATGCCTCAGCCTCCCAAGTAGCTGGGACTATAGGCCTGCACTATCACACCTAGCTAATTTTTGTAATATTTAGTACAGACAGGGTTTCGCCATGTTGTCCAAGCTGGTCTTGAACTCCTGGGTTCAAGTGATCTGCCCACCTCAACTTCAAAGTGCTGGGTTTACAGGCATGAGCCACCACACTCGGCCCCTTAGATGTTTTCCCACTGTCTTCCATACTTCCCAGTTCTGAGGCCATGAACATCCTTTACAGCATCTTCTAAAGGCAGTATGGCATGTCTCATGCTTAGATCTGGAACCTGCGTTTTCTGAGCTTCTGTGGCACACATCTGTTTCATCCTGCTGAACCCATGGCTGGAGTTGCCCAGAAGTGACTCGGGAGTTCCCGCACGGGAATGCCCCAAACCCTTAGAGAAGGGACCAGTTGGGATCCCAAAGCAGCACTAAACGCCAGCTTGGAGCATTAATTAGGGAAACTTAGGCATAGAGAGCTGCAGCTATCCTTGAAACCGGCAGTGAGAGACAAGGTGTTCTATCCCGGCATGCCTGCAGCGAGGGGCAGGGTAGGGAGTTTATGTGCAGGTTTAAGGCATTCGGCTCAAGGCTAACGCCCGTGCTCCAGGCATGAAGTGGCTACGTCTGACTCTGCCATTTGCTGCTCCACAGTCCCTGGGGCCTCCAGTTCCTCATCTGTGGCCTTGGGGTTGTAGTGACCTTTCTCTCCAAGGACTGTCGTATGGGACAGCAGTCCGGTCTGGTGCCGTGGACCTCAGAGGGCACTTGCACTGTTCCCAGCAGCCTTCGTGTTTATAGTCTGTCAGCGACTTGGTGACATCCACTTTTTATCCCCATTTAAATATTAGGAAATGAAGACCCTGTTGATGGTTCTCAAGGGGGTCCCCAGACCGGCAGCATTAGCTCACTTTGGAACAGACCTGCTGAGTCAGTGCCTGGAGGGCGCGCAGGAGAGGACCCTGCCCCAGTGTTTAACATGCCTTCCAGTTATTACAATACTGTAGCACTTGAGAACCACTGAAGGAATTTCCCTGGCATTGGAACCTGGGTATACCTGACTCAGGCCCATTCTTCTACGTACTGCCCTAAACTGCCAACCACTTAGCTTTTTAATTAGGTAGAATTATGTCATTTGAGGAAAGTAAATTATTTGTCCCCTGAAGGAAAGTGGGTATGCTTTGCCTATTCTCCCTCCTCCTCCTGCATGGGAACCACGGGGAGGCCAGACCCCTGGCAATGTGGACGTGGACCTTGAGGTCCTCATCTCAGTGGGAGGCTGAGCTGTCCTGTTCGTTTCTTGCAGCTGCTCAGATGGAAGATAAGAAGCCTTTTATCCTCTCTTCCATGAGGCTTCCTCTTCTGGACACCAATAGCAAGGTAAACTGCATGGGCCAGCCCAGGCTGCACCACCATCCCACAGGCAGCCGCAGGGTGGGGCCAGGGCGTGCTGTGCGGCCACCCACCAACCAGGTGGCCACCACCCTCAGCTGGACTGAGCATGGGAACAAAGGACGACAATGTACCGTTCAGTGTGTGGGTGGCGCTTTTCCCACATCTCACTCAGGAAGACTCCCCAAGACCACCCTTTACTGGCACCAGTTACAGGTCCCTGGGTCCCCAGCCCCTCCCTCAGGCTCAGTGATTCTCTAGAAGGACCCGGAGCTCCCAGTGCTGCTCTCCTCGTGGTGATTGCAGCGACAGGATGCAGGTCCACGTCAGCCATGGTTGGGGTACCTGGGACGGAGTCCAGGAGGACCACACACACAGCTTCCTGCCGTCCTCCCCTGGGGTCATGGACAGACTTAGACCCCCGCTCCTCCCCGCAGCAGTGATGTGGGTCAGCGTGCACAGAGCATCACAACCAGGGAAGCTCCTGTCTTGGGGTCTGTCATGTGGACCTGATTGGCGCCCTTGTGGCTGAGCTGTTTCCAGCCCCTCTGGAGGTGGAGCTGATGCCATGTGGCCCATAGCCCCCACCTGTCACATAAGACCTATCACATGAGACCTGTCACATGAGACCACATCTGATGTGGCCGGAGACCTTGTGGACAAGAACATTCTTACCAGGCCAGACACTGGGGCTTAGTGATGACCTCCTAGGACCTCAGGGCAGAGGCCAGGTCAATCTCTGAGCAGGTGGATCTTTGTGAAAGTTAGGACTGCACCCAGATTACCCAGGGGCTGCTGTCTTGGGTAGGACCTGCTTGCTATAGGGGGAGCAGAATCCCCCAGCCCTCTTGGGCCTTGTGCTGGGGCTTCTTGGGGTCCTTCTGTGAGACTTTTGTTGTGTTTCCCCAGAAGCTACTGAAATGGACCACAAGCCACATCTGTTGTGGTGCCCCTTACGTGTCCCACACACTCCCCGACGTTCAGAGCTCTTCTCCCCGACATGCCCTGATGGGGTCTTTTGGTCGTTTTGGATGCCTGCAATGCCAGTTGGTTAAACGCACCCAGTCTGGACAGTCTGGGACTAACTGGCTCGCTCCTCCACACCCACCCTGTTCCCCGAGGCGGGACAAGGAGGAAGTGCTCGGAGGAGCCTCCTCAGGGTGGGGACACTGGACCTGAGAGCTGAGGGGACAGAGGCGTGATTGTGATGCTGGAGAGAAGGGTCCTGAGGGAGGGCAGCATGGGCAGAGGCCGTGGCACTGGGGAAAGGGCCGGTTTGGCCATGTTGGCCTGGCTGTGCCTCCAAGTCACCAGGTATAGTTACTGGGCGAGGCTGGACATGCAGGCTCAACTTAGGATTATTTGGATGACAACTGCAGATTCAGGGACTAGATTTATGATGCACCCCAGGAAACATGGGGGTCACATGAGAGAAGCTAGCTCAGAAGGACAACAGCCCCACCCCAAGGCCAGGGTCAGCCCCAGACAGAGGGATGGGTGTATTTGGAGCCTGGGAAACGCAGCTGCCAGTGTCCAGAAGTCTGGGGGCTGGGGGCAGAGTGGTTGGGCAGAGTCCTCAGCAGAGCAGCTCTCTTAGAGTTGGGGTGCAGCTTGATGGAAGTGGATGGAGGAGGGAAAGTAAGTGAGATAATTAGAGGCCCCAGCAGCAGGGGAAGGAGGTGAGGAGGAGTGGAGGAAAGGAATTCTTCCCTACAGACCTGAGCACATCCACAAGCTGGCGGGAAGGCTGCCTTCCAGGAGCCGAGGGGCCTCCAAGCAGCCTAGGGATGGAGAAAAAGGCAGACACAGGCACAGGTGCAGGGGCAGGTGTGTGTACAGGTACATGCAGAAACAGGTGTGGGTACAGACCCAGGTGTGAATGCAGGTAGGTATAGATATGGGTGTGGGTGAAGACCCAGGTGTGGATGCAGGTAGGTATAGATATGGGTGTGGGTGCAGACTCAGGTGTGGATACACGTAGGCATAGATATGGGTGTGGGTGCAGACTCAGGTGTGGATACACGTAGGCATAGATATGGGTGTGGGT